TCCTGGTGACAACATTCAGTTCAACTGGGAGTAATTTGTTTTGAAAATTTAAGTCAATTTCAAATAGTTTCGCTTTTGTAGGTTTACACTTATATATAACATCGCACATCCTGCTTGTATTTCCCGGAAGGCAACATGTACTAGGAATCACTTCAAACGGTATATCGTCATTGGGAGTACTCCACTTATAATCAATTGAAACGTTAAAATAGTTATTAATTTTCACTGGTAAACTTGTAATAAAAGCTTCCGTGGTGACCATACCAAATTTTAAACATTTTTCAGCAAGCATTATTGTAGGATTACCAACTTGAAGAGTATAAGGATGTTTGCGATAATACTTTTGGTTAATACTGTAATTAAAGTATCCAGAATAGTTCCCTTCCTTGTAACCAAAACAAAACAAAATTATTTTTTCTTCCTTATGCGTTTTTATCTTGATTTCAAAAGTATGTTCTTTTTTCTCCGAATAAAAAATATAGTCAGATTGAAGAAAAATCAACGTAATATTAGAGTTGCTATTATTTTTTATCGTTAATTCTTTTCTGGCATAAGTAGCTAGTCCAACTCGACCAAAGCAAACTATTGTCGGATGAGGTAAGATAAAAAATACGTCGTAAATGGATATCATTTTATTTTCATGCTGATAAAATTTATGTGCCGATGAGTTTATCTGAGTCTCTGATTGAATATTACACTTGTCTTTTGGTTTGATTTTATTTTGGGATTCTATTATTCGTTTATTACATATCTTAGACTTAAGAAAATTTTCCGTTGCTTTGTCTTTACGTTCTTTAAACTTTTTCAATTCTCCATTTATGTATGTATAATGCGGCTTAAGTTCATGTAAAATATGCAACGATTCGACAATCATTGCTCGTGATTTGTTTGGACAAACTACTTTTATTCTGCACTTTATTTTGTATAATATATTTTGGTCTATGATCGATTTTTCTTTCAAGTAACTATGGTTTGTTACATTAAACAAAATTTGATTATCAACTTTCAAACTATTAGGTTTCACAATTAGAAGTATTTCTTGTGAAGAATGAGGTTTTATGCTAAATACTTGGGGTATCACCTGGAAACTAACTGATCTATGATATTGAAGTCTAGCCGTCGTATATTTTGACTCGTTTCGTATTTGCAAATACTTGGTGACTTTTGAATTTAGTGCTACTTCAGCAAAATCTAATATCTTTGGTTCATGTGACAATTTCATGTATTCAAACTGGCCAATAATATAGTATCTGGCAATTTCTGCATGGAATTCATTATCACAACATCTTATTCCGTCAGCTTGAATTAAACGCATATCAACCACAAACCTATCTTCATGATTGTACATTTTATTTATTCCCAAAATGCATTCATTTGTTGGTTTAAAAGTTATCAGAAGGTGGTGCTCATCAATATGCTTAATATTAAAAGCTCTATGCGATGCTGAAATGTTACGAGCTTCCTCGAATTTCTAAAAAAGAAATGTAGATACCTTTTATATCAATAAAAAAAATATTTTTAATTTGGTGCAAAGATAAAATTTAAAGTACCTGGCGGTTTGTTTTTATTTTTTATAAATCGTTTATTTTGGAAATTACATTTAGATACAAATTACTGAGTAATGATATATGCATAATATTTTTCGATCTTACCTACGTAATAATAAGAAAATATGAACTGGTGTTTTTCACAAAAGAAAGAACTTTAAATAAAATGGAAAAAACAACAAAATCATCTGAATCTACTAAAAATAATAAATAAAGAAAGTAATGATATGGAATCGAAAAAAAAAGTAAAAAAATAAGTGTGTAAATGATCGTGACACGAACCAAGGCCTTCTTTTTTTTATGCGAAAAGTTGTTAAACGAGCAGACGGTTCACCTGATGTTAAGTGAATACCGGCGCCCATGGGCATCTACCACCCGAGGGTTACAGATGCGTTGACAACCTTTTGAAAATTGGGCTCCGGCTACCTCACTCACCAGACGAAACGTGAAAGTATTTGTCATTCCTCCATTTTACGCCGATCTTCTGTGAGGTCGTGGTACTTACCCGGACGGGCCTGCCCATTCGTGCAACAGCCGAGGCTACTGCGTGGCCCTACGACCGTTCTGTTTCGGGGCCGCCCGATCACCGACCGAGCTATTGTGCGTTTTTTTTTTCGGTGAAATTTACCGTCGTATTCGAATGATATTTTTCATTCCCTGAAAACTGGGATACAACGTCATTTTCTAAAAATGAAACCTAGCCAGATCGATTTTTCGCCCCCGAATCTACGCACATACTAAATTTCATTGCTCGTTTAAAGGTATAAGATGTACGTTTTAAAAGATAAATTGTAATAAAGTTTTTTGTCGTATTAACTAGAAGAGCCAGCTTAGAATGCCGTATTTATCAGGTCTTTACCCATGAAATTGCCGTTATGTATGACATAAGTTAAAGTATGGTAATTTTAAGTTTAGGTTTTTGCTCTGGTGTTGAACCAGGATCTAAACAACATGTTTAACACTTTTGATTGTCTACCAAAACTCATTTTTCGCCGCACGTAATTTGGTTAAAATTCCTTCATTGTTGAGCAGAAACAATAACGGTTTGTGCGTTCGTTAGTAAAGTTCTCTGCGTAAACGTTGTTGATAATACGTGCCGTTTATGCCGCGTTGGTGCCACGACGCAACTCATATTCCATAATTACATGAATTTTTAAAGTATCTATTTTGAGAAAAATGTTCAAATGTAATGAAAATACAAAGCTAATCAATAAATAAAAGGCTGACTTCGTAAAAAGAATATCATGTTTTTAAAACAAAATTAATCCGAAATTAATGTGAATTCTATCACATCAATAATTTTTTTTTATTGTAATACCAGAATTGAAGAACGGCAACATAGATAAAGGTGTGTTATTTTTCGTAGAATATGTTTCGACAGTTTATCTATTGATAAGTGACATTAACATTTTTTATGTTCTAAAAATGAACTATAAGTTTTTTTTAATATTTCACGTAGATGTGTAATAGTTTATTAAAGCACTGCATATTAATTGATTAAACACTATTTGGCTGCAACAAAACAAGTTTGGTGTCAGAAAACCGTTAATAATGGTATTTTCTATAATAATCATCAGCCTTATAAATTCCTCGGCATATTTAAAAATTATCGACAATCGAATTGTGAAATTCGCTATAATATAAAACAGAATGTTTATTTTGCGGTGGTAGGGCCTATGTGTTTTATAAAGATACTCGTGGGCTTGTATCGTAGTGCGACTTGTCAGCGATGTACGAAGTAAAAATCTTATTTGCTGTAACCGACAAATAGGGTAGCAATAACCAAATAAGATAAAGTGTCTTGCAAGCTAAGTGAGGAAAAAGCTACAAATATTTTTAAATACATTTTCTTACACGATCTATACTTTTGAAGTTATAAGTAAATTAAAAAAGTACATTACCAGCCTATACAATTGCCACAGCTAGGCAGAGGACTCCTCTGTACAGATCGTATTAGGGCATAGTCCACCACGCGATCCAAGTGCAGATTGGCAGACTTCACATATCTTCCGAATAATTTTTGTTTTTCGTAATTATTTCGGTAATATGCAGGTTTCCTGACGATGTTTTCCTTCAGCGATAATTCAGCACATGATAATTCAGCAATTAAAAATGACTTTCATTGGTGCTGGCACCGGGATTTGAGCTCAGGGTGTTCGAGTATATATTCAATGAAAAGCAAGCGCCAGGACACTGATTAATTAAATATTGAAGATGAAGAGAAAATTACCTATTTTGTTTCTTACAGCAAATAAGTTTTCTTATGTTATAATATACATTACATTATGTAAATCTGCATCATATGTAAAGCTTCAGTAAATAACATAATATTACATCACTTACAGTGGATATCAATAATATTTTGGTAATTAATATTCAATTTCGTACCAATAAACATCCCTGATACATTGTTTTGAGGTATGTAGATGTGTGTAGATTGCATTCCAATTCAATGATTTTCGATGTAGATAATCCAACAAAACATATAGGGAATTCAACAACTTTAAATCTTTTAAAAACATTATCCGGATCATAATTATTACAGATTTCCATTTCGTCTCAATAACGTGATGAATTAATGACGTATCTTATAATATGTCGATTGCATTGTCATATTAATTCTTTTTGTTATATGTAAAGTGCCTGTAAAGTAACATTATGTAACTGAAACTTTAACTATATCTTCACAAAGTATTTTAGTTTTTTTTTTTCAAAATTTGTAAATAAAAAAAACATTTTTCTATGTTTTCATTTTTATGGTTCAAAATATTATAATTTTAATAAAATTCTTTCAAAACATTGCAAAATCAATTTCTCCTGCTTTTAATTGAACTATCATAGTTTGAATGAAGGCCGAAGATTGGCAACAATTTTGTGTTTAACAAATAAACCTTTCTATACCTACAGTAAGTCCAATCATAATATGAAGAGAAAAGTGAAGTGATGAAGCGTGGATTTCATATTTTTGCTAGCATTTGTAGAAACGTCTTAATAAGGTTTTTTGGAGTTGTTACAATTGTGATTTCAAAATTCTGTTTCTTCGAAACGATGAGTACAGTCGCGGTGCCCTCGCGAACGGGATAACGTGCCGGAGTAATATTGTAGATGGATGTAAGCACCAGGGGTGTGCCGTACGACTCCGACAAATTAGTTCGGGGCGGGGGAGCCCCGGCCCCCCTTGCCCAAGGGTTTATCAGATTCGGGGGGGTAAAAAAATGACTTCTCAATGGGAGGTGGGAGGGTAGTGCGCAGAGCGAGCGGCGTATAGGGCGGGCGTGGGCGGTGCCACACGCGGGGCAGGCTTTCATCCGCATCGCGACACCCGATGCACTGCTCTCAGCCCGCCACCTCGCTCCCGATGTATGGTCAGCTCGAGGTTACTTACGCGGAATGTTAAGCCCTCGGATTAATGGTCAATGTTTGTGTGGTGCTCAAAGGACGTAGTTGTGATACATGGAAACTGGATACGGAGACGTTGTACAGGACTGCGGGGCTAGTGCCGACCCCATGGGCACGACTCTAGATATGCATCCGTTGGATCCGCCACCGCCCGACGTGCTGCTCGCACTGCTAGCCAGGAATAAAGCGTTAGAAGGTGAGGACGAGACATATGCAGCTCATATTATGATATTTCAATTAGGGAAATGGAAATTCAATGAACAGCACATAAGGATTCTCATATTAAACTTTTGTAGAACTTATAGATTTATCAGTAACCTATACAGCATGCTACAATTACTGTGGCAAGCACGTGTATGGCCCGGCGCCACGCGACAGGGCGGCAACGCGTGTGCGTGCTCACTCCCATACACGCCGGGCTTTTTGTACGGGCCTTAAGCAGTGGGCTGTAGGGTTTCACGTAATCAAGTTAAGTGCTCGTACAACACGGGCGCGTCGATGAGCTCTTTTCGATTTAAACGTCGACGCGCACCTATTATACCGCTAACGTCGCACTTAGCAAATTGTTGTTATACGAGCGTATTGTATTGCTCCCATTAAAATGCTGTTTGGACTATCGGCAGTCTTTAATATTTTCATGTATAGTATAATTAATTTTGTGAAAGCAATTGCTTAATAATCTTCATATATAGAAATGGTATGTAATAAACCTAAATTGTGTATAAAAATTAAGGGAAAACTTAGAAAGTAATAAATGAAAGAAAACTTTTACTACTAGTTAAAAAGAGAGCTTAAGAAAAAGAGTGAAGAATTTATTTGCTGTTAAGTTAGTTCTTTGTACTAAAAAAAACAAACTTAGCTGTTAAGTCATAAAACTTTTTTTTTATTAACTCAGTATAAAGAAACGTTATTACTTCAAGTAGACGTTGCTGTATGTTTTTGCTACTATATACTTATAACTTAATTTAAAGTTTTAACTCTGTATCTTTGTTTTTGATATCATCATTTCAGCCTGTTTGAGTGCACTGCTGAACATAGGCCTCCCCCACAGATATATTATAAAACAAACAAACACCATATCTTATCCTTTAAACAAGCAATTCTTGTATATACAGCGTGTCGTTGCCATCGCGACAATAAATGAACACACATATAGGGGATAACTTTATAAAGTTGTATGTATTAAACATTTAAATTCTTTAAACATCGATATTTACAGAGTTATTAAATTTTCCAAAACAAAGAATTTTAGAACACCCTTACCTATAAAAGCGTAACGTAAAGTTCATTTGTAAAGGTCACAAAGCATATGAATGGGTTGAATGGGTTGGTAGAAGGAGAGGCTTGTAATGCGACGCTGTGGCGCGAGTTGTATAGGATGTTACAAATTTTGTTTCTTTTTTACTTAATTAGTTTGTTTGAAAAAATTTTTTTTTAATTATGGATTTTGTTTAACGTTAATATTTTTTTATGATTATTGGCAAGTAGCGTTAGGCGTGTGTTCATTTATTGTCGCGATGGTAACGACACGCTGTATATATATAATCGGAATCTCCGAAACGGCTCCAGCGATTTTCATGAAATTTAGTATGTGCGTAGATTCGAGGGCGAAAAATCGATCTAGCTAGGTTTCATTTTTAGAAAATGTCCTTTTATCCCTGTTTTCAGGGAATGAAAAATATCAATTTGAATATGACGGTAAATTTCCCGCAAAAGAAAATGTCATAATAGCTCGGTCGGTAATCTGGCGGCCCCAGAACAGACGGCCGTGGTTTGTATCACGATCATTTACACACTCTTTTTTTTACTTTTTTTCGATTCCAGATCATTGCTTTCTTTATTTTTAATTTTTTGTCGATTTGTTATTTTGTTATTATTTTCCCATTTTTTTTAAAGTTCTTTCTTTTGTGAAAAACATCAGTTCATATTTTCTTATTATTACGTCGGTAAGATCGAAAAATATTATGCATATTTCATTACTCAGTAATCCGTGTACTTAAGTGTTATACGCGGTTACGCAAATGTTTTTTGCGTTGGAGAATAATATTTAAAAAAAATTACGGTTGTGTTCTTAATTCAGTAATAACAGCTATGAAATATACAATTCAAATAATTCCCATAACGCGAAAATGACTGGTCAAATGTTGACCCACAATTTAATCACCTACAGGAAGAAAGTGGAGATGTCTCCTATTATATTACTGCATTATCGCCGGAAGTGGCCACGTGCCGACACGAGCGCGACGAATCGGCTCCTTCCGGTTTTGTATATTCACACAATGCTATTAACCTGCTTAAAAAGCATCGATCTTTGAAAAATTTTAAGAAAATAAATGGTTAAAAGTATGGATTTGTATTTGAGTTTTTTTTTATGCGAAAAGTTGTCAAACGAGCAGACGGTTCAGCTGATGTTAAGTGAATACCGCCGCCCATGGACATCTGCCACACCCGAGGGTTACAGATGCGTTGACAACTTTTTGAAAATTGGGCTCCGGCTACCTCACTCACCAGACGAAACGCGAAAGTATTTGTCATACTTCCACTTTACGCCGGTCTTCTGTGAGGTCGTGGTACTTACCCGGATGGGCCTGCCCATTCGTGCAACAGCCTAGGTTGCTGCGTGGCCCTACCCCAATAGAAATAATCTAATAACTTTGATTCTTACATGCAGATGTAGAGTATAACTAAGCTGATTATGATGATTTTTTTATATAGTAATTTTTGTATATAGTTATTGCCAACAAAAATGTTACTTGAGTTTTATATTGATATACCGATTAAATGATATATTTTTTTAAATGAAAAAAATATAATTATTAATAACAATAGTTAAAATTTCCAAATATTACAATTGATATTATTTTGAAATGTCGAACATTTTATTGTAATTGTTGACACAAAAGATTTATAATATCTAACTTTTATGATGGATACCTATTTTAAGGTCAACAAGTTTCGTTTGCCTCATTGAATGAAAAGATACCTTTGATGAATTTTGCCGGCATGCTGGCACATCCACTACACCAAAATTGTGCAGGTGCGATGCTAGTGTTTAATGAAGGATGGTTATACCGCAGTAGATAATTGATTTCAAAAAACCAGCTGTGGCAAAAAATAAATTGAATTGTTAAGCGTCTACAAGCATTTAGTGAGCGTGTTTAGTGAACTTGTTTATTGACCTTTATAAGATATCTCTGAGATGACATCATGGAAAAACAATACTGGCACTCAGCTCAGGACGCTTCTTGCAGTAAAGATGCCAAAAAAGCACTCTTGTCAGCACACTAGAGTTCAAAAACACACTAAAAGCGCTTACATAACATTCTTCTAAATTTTCTTATATTCAATATTTATACTTATAGAATATAAGAAGATTAATACTTATATTATTACCATTATTCGTTGCCTTTTTCTTTATCGTATTTTCAATATCATAAGAAGCGATGTATAGATTATAACAGGCGCTTAATTTGAAACAAATGCATTTCACGTACGTTTGAAAGTTATGTGGGTAGTATAGTTTTGTTCATCATCCTCTCAGCAGGGGGTGACATCTGTCGACTTCTGACCCTTGTTTATGCTACTAACCTATCATGACCTACCTGAGCGCCATTAGAACATTATTACTTATAATTGTTTGACTTAAAATAATAGGTGTATAATGAAAGCTCTTCATAAGTAACAATCGTAATGACATTCGGTGTGTCAGATTTTAAGGGGAGTTTGTTTATACGTTATAACATGGTGAGATATTGAATCAAGCGAATGGTAACTTAGTCATATCAATTAAAACTTTTGTCAAAAAAATGGAAAATCTCATAAAAAACAAAATACAATATGTTCCTATGTTTTTAATTAAGTAGACAGAGATTAATAATTAAGAGATTAATGTCACCCATGTTATTTATCCCCAAACGCCTCTATCAAAATACACAAGGTTATACGACCTCTTGTAAGGAATAAGTCTAAAAAGTCACTAAGTTGTACATGCAACGGGGAATCGGACCCGCAGCCAACAATCATGATGTAAACAAAAGTAATCAATCAAGTAGCCAATTATATTTTCTTATAACGTAAAATATGGATATTGTTTCTTTTTATTTGAAATGCTTTTTAACACCTCATGCAATTCCGTAAATTGCGAGTACCATCGTAATTCATCAATTATGATATGTAAATACATTTCTTACATGAAGCTACGCTCAAAAAAAGTTTATACAAATAATTGCAAGGAACTCTATATTTTGTGGTATGATTTTCTATGGGGTAAATTCTTTGATTAAGAGAATATAAAGGGCTTCTCTATACAAAGCTCACTGTGATCAGCTTTATCCCTTTGTTAGAGTTTTAATCAATCAGAGAGATGCCGGGCCGTCTGTTCGAATCAGTGTGCGCGGAATTGTTAGTGTTTTAATGGGCGTACAAAGAAAAGGCAGCTTTCATTGAAAGTATTGTAATCTTAATACAAGAGTCAAAAGAAAAATTATCTTTTATATATTCAAATGATGCCTTGGACGTTATTCAAATGTTAGTTTATTAATTTAACTAATGAACCATAATAAGGTAGATATACAATACTAATGACGTTAACCATAGACCTCGATTACCATAAGATAATAATCGCAGACTACTCGTACATACAGTGTAGGAAACGAAAACATAAAAAACAAACAGTCATTTTCTTAGTCAATAAAAAAAAGAATATATAGGAACTAAAAAGCAGAATACATTATTAAGTTTATTACTTTAAAATAATATAGAATTAAGTGAATCTTAAGTCTTTAGTAGCGTTTAGTAAAAGATATATGATGTATAGATAGCATTGATTTGTAATGGTATGTATGTAAATACTAAGAACATTGCGTAAGTAATTCATATAAGTACTCATATTTTGTATTAATTGAAAAATCCCATGAAAATCTCACTTTGATTAACACCTAAAATAAATTAGGTTTTTAAGGCAAATATTTGAACGTTATTAAATAAGTTTAAAACATATAGAAAATGGAAGGAACTAAAAAAAATATATAATTGTAACTTATTGTTAGTATAATTGTTACAAATACACAAATTTACAAATTAAAAACATTTTGTTACAATTTTTCTATCCTCGCAAATATTACATAGGTTTTCGATTTTAATATCTCAATCATTTACTATTTTGCTCGTACTTTCTTTTTTATAGCTTCTATAAAAAAAAGGTAAAGTAACAACCTATATAATTATTTCCCACTGCAAAGGCCTCCTTTGTAATAGGTCATAGTCCACTGGTCGGCTAGGCCGGTCTAGGTCATAGTCCACTACGTGATCCCACTGTGGTTGGTGCTTCACATATTTCGAAACATTTTGTTTTTGTTATTATTTTGAAAATATGCAGCTTTCCTCAAAATGTTTCCCTCATCTTTGAGCACATGATAAGTCAGCACTTAAAATTA